AAAATCGTATTGACACCGAAACTTATGATAAGTCTTCAAGTAATGAGTTCATCATGGATTTAGAATCTTGTTCATCATCTTCAATAAAAACATTAATTGATATGTCTAGAGAAGAGAGACATGAGGAGGACGTTGATCATTATTTTAACAATCAAGAAAATGAGAAAAAAAATTCAAAAAATGAAAACTCCTGTGGTGACACCATGGAGAGAGATCCTCAGTTTCCTGACTACCTTCTAATAAGTAATAACCAAGAAGAACTTATTATGAAACCTGAAGTTTTATTCAAAGCAGAATTTTGTTCGGAGAAGTATATGACTGTCAGACATAAATTTCAGATAAAAAAAAGAAAAAAATGCATATTCAACTATACTCGCACTCATTTCAAAACAACTAGACCCGCCTCGAAAGTAACTTCTAAGTTAAAAAGGTATTACATAAAAAATAAAAACAATTTCCCCGCTGCTCGTGTAATCCAACGTGGATTAGCATCTAATACTATATCTCATCTGGTTTCGCGAGCACGGATATTGAAAAAAGTAGTTGCAAAAGAAAATCTTTTAGAAAGTACTTGCGAAAAATTTGGCATGGAATATTACAAATCCGAATCTTTGACGTCTTGTAAAAATAAGTTGAGCAGCCTCGGAAGAATTGAGTCTATTAAAAAAATAAATGCTGGGCAAATGAATTTTCAAGGAGATATTATAAGTGTCAATGTAGCGCAGATTAAAAATACGTGTAAATTTAACGATTACCGCAACTCATTGGAACTTAGAAATGATGGTTATAGAGACTTTAAAGAAAATGACACAATTCAAAAGTCTTTACAAAATACCATCCCAAATCTAAGTTCAAGTTTTTGTATCAAAAGCACCTTTTCAAATACTATCGAATACAGTTCAAGTGAAAATAGCACCACCACGTTAACTTTTCGGAATGTGTCAAATACAATTTTTGCAAACAAGAGTTCTATTTTTAGCCAACGTTACTTAGAATCTGAGCACACTCTGGTTCCTAGACCAGGAAGCACTGCTATTATAAACAATGATTCCAATCAAGTAAAAGGCTCTAAAGAGGAACAACCTTTAAACATAGCAATCACAATGACTGCATTTCCTGAAATAAAACACGCTACAAAATTAGCTAACAGACTAGCTTACAATGACAATTCACTTGCCAGTGATGCTGTAAAAATATCTCCCTATTTAGAGTCTTTAAATAATAAAGGGGATATAAATTCATTGGTGAAAGACTCCAAACTACCCAATCTTAGCAGAAAAAAGAATACGAAAGTACATTCAGAAACTGATTTTTCAAACAACACGTATTCAACAAATAAAGATTCAGTAACAGCTGAAATCGAATATTCGAAAAATAAGTGGTGCAATTCAAATGTCCAAAATAAATTTTCGAAGAGTGAGCTCTGGGAAACGCTAACACAAGCACTAGACATTACTGTCAAAAGACTTGAACAGAATTTAAGTGAGAAAATTGTTAATGAAGTTAACAAATCATTAACTATTTTTGGAAAAGCTATAAATTTATCTAAAAGAATAAACTCTCAAGAAGAAACTGGCACTATTGATGATAATATAACGAACGATGGTAGGATATCAGATATCAGAGATATTCCATTCAAGTTGGGAAGAGATGCTGGATTGCAGTGCAACATAGTTAGTACTTCATTTATTGACGAGAACTTGCAAAAACTTAAATACGAGAATGCCGCAAACATATTTCACATCCGAAACGACGCATCGGATGTGGATGTGAAAGACGGAGAACTTATTATAGATTATTTGCAAGATATAAAACCGCCAACCGACCCTGACCAAATCCCACTGGAGCATGCCAAGAAGGACAGGGGTGATTCTGCGGCTATTTCGATTGAGGATCCTACTACAGCAGAAAGGTCTGACGGATTCGATCGAATCCAAACGCCGTTTCGCAATCCGATCAGGTTTTTAGTTGAAAACGCTTTTGTAATAATAAGTGTGCCGACTTTTTTGTTTGTGCTATTCATTGTTTATGGAGTTGTTGCGCTTGCAATGAAACCGTGGTGACGAGTAACGAAAATCCATTGATTTTTATTTTTATGCCCCCTTTTTTTAATTCCGTTTTCAAATTTTTATTGAAGACAAATATTAAATATTAATAATAAAGATAGGGCATTAATGTTCTAGATTATATTCGGAATATCCCTATGTTATAATCGGAGCTGGAGTCGGAATGGAATGCTCAGTACAAGAGGAACATGTTAATTAACGGAATGAAATCTGGCCTTGATTATTAATATTACTACATACACACACACACACGCGCACGCACGTACACAGCTAAAACGTAAAAAATAGGAATAGGAAAACGTGTTAAGGCCGAAATCGAAGATGTGTAACATGAAGTCGAAAACATGATTCAGAGAGGCGTGTACCATTTAGTTTCCTGGATCAGTTAATCAATCCGCTGGCATATTTGGTGTTAGTAACCTCATATGACTGTATTGTGTATAATTGTATGTTGTTGGTAGGACCATGCAATAGTGTTCGCTGTTGCACGAATGGGCAAATCCGTCCAGGCTAGTACCACGACCTCACAGAAGACCAGCGTGAAGTAGAAGTGTTATACTTATCAGTTTCATCTGGTGAGTGAGGTAGCTGAGGCCCACTTTATTATTTATTATTATTTTATTTATTTATTAACTTTAACACACACTTTATTAACGTTTCTTTACGGTTCTTCTCATGTCAGTGGTTTTCCGAACCGGTAGTAGTGTTTTGACAATCAATAATTTAGTGTTATACTTCTGTATTGACTAAAGATATTTTAAGTTGAATTAATATAAAAGGTATAATATAATTTAAAAGTATCAATAATTTAACACTAGCACCGGCCCCGACTTGTCTATTCATCCCACCGCTGGACTAATCTGAAGATTGCCTGATAATTTCATCAAAACTGGAACCGTTTTAGAGACCTTATGAATACATACACACGTATATATATTTATGATTAGTCCAGCGGTGGGATGAATAGACAACGGTTTATATATATATATGAAAGAACACGTTTGAAAATAATTATCCTAATATTCTACCGAAAATATTTTATAACCCAATTTCTCTTCAACTCACTGTGAAACATTTAAATCAATTTTGTTGAGAAGTCTGGTGCCAAACTTATTCTTTGGATCCATTCGTTAAAGAGGTCGCCTGCAAAGTAGGTAGCAATAGCTTTTAATCCATTTAATTAGTTTCATGTTTATTCATCGTCAACGGAACTTGTACAAAGCCGTTTAAAGTAACTCTAATACATATTTCATTTATTAGAAACAAAATGGATTGTTTTGCAAATTGTTCCTGATAAGGAACACTTTTGGCTTAAATTGTTTGTGTTTAAATAGCATTTCTATCAAGCGGGGCGTATTTTAAACGTATAATTAAATGAAATAATAGTTGTGTAACATATAGTACCAGGCTACTTTATCTGTAGTCGTTTTGAAATACAAGTATATCAAAATTGGAAATGAAAGCAATCTTCCTCCTTGTATAAATGCAAGACGAACTTATATATCTTTGTATTTTCCCGTATTTTTGAAGAAAAGATTCGCTTCGGTAATTTATTCATAACGTCCATTTCTATACGATTATTAGCTGCTGCCCGCGACTACGTCTGCGAAGAGGCGTGAAAATTTAGGTTTGTATGTATTTTTGTATGCTGTATCAGAAAAAAGTAAATACAAAAAATTTTATATAAAAAATAAAAAAAAATTAGGGGTGGACCACCCTTAACATTTAGGGGGATGATAAATAGATGTTGTGCAATCGGACACAAAACCACCTGGCCGATATGCACACAAAATTTCACGAAAATCGGTCGAGCCGTTTCGGAGGAGTTCAATTACAAACACCGTAATTTATATATTAGAAGATTACATTTCTCAAAGACACTTAGTAGATGACTTCATTGCGCAATTGCAATTGGCTTCGGCGCCGAGGTCTTGGGTTCGATTCCCACACGAAATAAGTATTTCTGTGGCCCACTGATAGTTGTGTCATATCTGGACATTTGTCACGTGAAATTAATGTACCTATGTAAAACGTCCTTACAGCACAGGATAATTCTCTCCTACCAGTGAACGCTACTATGACATGTTTATTTGCGTTCACCATGTCTATAGAAAGCAATGTTCTCGAAGGAAAGACTACAATAGATTTTCTAGGTCGCAGCGATCGTTGTAACTTATCCACCAACTCCTTCCATACAAAAAATATTTAGTCCAAGCTCCCAACGCCGCCAGATATTTCGGTTCGAATTCCGTGGCAGCGAAAATTTTTAGATATTATTTCTACAAAAAATTGATTGTCGAGATTTTCGCGCTATGAGGTTATCTCCTATAATTATACTAGTGGTCGCCCAGTGGTGTGCATTTTTGTAATCAATAATATTTTATACAATTTTTAATGTATTTTTTATGCATAAATTAAAAAAAATATTTGCATTCTGCACTCCTTCTTTATATAAACTCTAAGTGTGGGAAATTTCATACTCCTCCATCCGTGCAATTTTCGTAAAAAGGGGTACAAAGTTTTTACTTCACGTATTAATATATAGATATATTAATATACTTTATAATAAAAATTGTTTTTACTATTAATTTATATTATCTCAAATTACTATTTGAACGAATTTCTTCAATTTAAATGTTGATCCTTCTGAGATAAAGGCAAACACTACTTTTCCTCCGTCCAAATACTAGCTACATGTTCTCCGATAACGTTTGGTCCAAATGTAAAAATTATAGATTCTTTACTAATTTTCAAAGCATGTGTATTTTCTCAACATTAAAAAAACTACCATACATTTTATTCGTTTATTGGAAGTGGAGTATAAGTTATATCTGGAGTTGATTCTATAAGTACGATGCCGTTGACATCGCTCTATCTAAAATTTAAATAAATATTGGGTATTCGTGGTCACGACGGATGGTGTATGTGGAATCATTGTTCCCGAGCGAGTACCAGATGTCCAGACCTATCAACCGTGAAGAGAGGGCTTGGGCGACGACTCCTGCAACAAACAAGGCACGTTACAACGCCGCATTTTGACAATGAAGAATTGCCATATAAAGTAATTAAATTTTTTTATAAATAAATATTTTAGGACACATTTTACACAACTTTCTCTAGACCCAAACTAAGCAACGCTCGTACTATAGGTACTAGATAATTGAAAAACATACTTAAACATACATATTTAAACACCCAGACACCAGAAAAACACTATGTTCATCACACAATATTTTTCCAGTAGTGGGGATCGAACCCACACCCTCTGGCGCAGGAGGCAGGTACACTACCCACTACGCTATTCGGATCGCCGAATGGCGTAGTGGGTATTGTACTGGTCATTAGATACTGCAATATATTGTATTACCTAGGATTGTGCATATAGCAAGGGAAATACAGTACGCGTGTAAAGTTCGTACAAGTTGTCACACAAAAGATCGCGATGGTTCAAAATCCTTACCTGAGCTTTGCACTTCTACTCCTAGATGGCGTTGCAACGGCGGTGGCTTGAGCTACGGCCGGAGCGTCTTCTGTTGTCTCCTGTAACGATTTAAGTATGAATACCCTCACTCTGTAAGGCACTTTTAGCGTACCTTATGCCTAAGATATATCCTATGGCCAGGTACTTAATAAATTTTGAATTTTACAGCGTTTCGTTATAGATTCCTGTCACATTTTCTTCCGAAATATGAACATATTTAATTTGCAGTGGTATTAAATGCAGTTTAGTGTTTACTCCATATTGCAATTCTATAACAGAACCAGCAACTTTACGGAGATGATGTTTTTTCATCATCATCATTATTTCAGACTGTCCCAGTCCACTGCTGGACAAAGGTCTCAAGTGATTTTCCTGCCTCAGCTATTTTTACATCATTCTAAATATAAAAAATCGTGATAGTGCGAGACTTAATTAAGGATTGAATTAATTTCCAAACGCTTTGATGCTTTTCTAAGACACGAAGATGTATAAATAAAAAGAGCCCCTTTAATATGAAATGATTCGCCTATTTCTAAAAGAGTAGCGAGGTTACAAGTTCTTGCATAACGATACTGATCTCAGAGGCATCTTACAACGTGGAAGCGGTCGGGTTACGTTTTATCGTGGCGGATTGCTTACAAGATTGCTTTCGAAAAATTAAAAAGGGAACCCGTGAAAGGCTTTCCCGTGAATATGACGATATTCATTTTCTTGAAACAGCAATTCTCTTTCAATTTCGCCGTGAATGCGTCCACCTCAGCCGCCCACTGTGTGGGATATGGGTCGAATGTCGACCCACAGCGCGTATTACTGAAGCGAAACTTGGTCCATTCCGAAAAATATATATAATAAAAATATACACGATACGATTTTCATCGCGTCGTAAAGGGGGTATTGGGCCACAGTCCACCGCGTGACCCCGCTGCGTATTCGCAGCCTTTAAATTATAATTAATTAAAATACCGGCCAAGTAAAAGTTAGACTCCCGCACGAAGGGTTCCGTACTTCCATTATCTATAAAAACGGCAAAAAATCAAGTCTATTGTATGGGGTCCTCACTTAAATATTTTTTATTCCGTTTTTTAGTATTTGCTGTTAGAGCGGCAACAAAAATACATCATCTGTGAAAATTTCAACTGTCTAACTATCACCGTTCATGAGATACAGCCTGTTGACAGACGGACAGACAGGTTCCCGTTTTACCTTATTACTGCTTTCGTGTTTCGTCTAGATAGTCAGATAAGCGGGACCACTTTTTAATGGACATCATCATCTGTTGTAGATAGCGGCGACAATCACTTCACTGGAACGGCCCGCTCGCTTGCACAACTTTTCACTTAAAAGAAACTGGTATCCCTCACGGACTTACACTGCGATTCTAAATCAGAGGTTCGTCCATACCTCGGCAGTGGATTCGGTTGTCGTCCGGTAGCCGCGGCCGGCCTGGTCACGTGGGCTTGGTGCGGGGGCGCCATATTGGGAAAACGAGCGCGGCTGTGTCCTGCAAAACGTAAAATCAATTAATAGAGATTCCAGACAAACTTCGTTTTGTCAACGCGTGTCTTTTATAGTGTTAGACTAATTATCAATTATGTATCGATGCAACTTACTAGACATTTATTAATCAAATTGCATTTATAGTGGATGTTTCAAAATTAAATAGAAAAATATTTAAATTAATGTCTTTGCGTGTAAAAGTACATTTTAAGACAGTTTTATCGTTAAATTACTTTCACTGTTAAGTTATTAACATAGCATATTAAATAGAAAATTAATTTTCACGTTGTATTTAATTCTAAATGAATTTTTTAAAGTAAACGAATAGTAAATGGAGTGGAGTTCAGAGAAAATTTTAATTAACATCCAAAAGTTTACCGTCGGAGTTCATTGGTGAAATTAATTTCTGATTCCACGTAAACGATTGAACAAGCTTTCGGTCTTATGCTATATTTTGACAGTGATGTTCGCCTTAATAGTTCGGGACTGCGAAGATGTTGTTTAACTTTAATAGCACCCCCGCCTCAGTTCCAAGTAAAGGGATCTTACTACGAAGACTGTTCATTGCTCGCTGGCGCGTTCGAAGGTTGCTTTCCCATTAGCCGTTTGATAACGCGTACGCTGTTTACTATAAATTACCATGCAAATGCTCCGCCGCTGACAATCGAAAGTGGCGGGCACGTACGCTCTATGACAAAACGGGGTCGTGTTTGCTTGACGCGATTTGCATATCCCTTACGCGTTTCGAGACGTTTGGGCGCGTTCGAATTCAGACGCGCTGCTGGCCTTGTACCAAAAGCCGCCTTGTATAGCGGAAAACTATTCATCGCATAGAAGCAACTTATTAGTCATATAGTAATCAAATTACATTTACGGAATTCATAGTGGACGGCTGAAATTAAATCGTAAAATTATTCCATTTAATCAATGTTCAGTATTTGCTTGTAAAAGTAAAGTAAAGTAAAAGCCTATAAATGTGCCCACTGCTGGGCAAAGGCCTCCTCTATACAGAGGGTATCAGAGCATAATCCACCACGCGGCCCCACTGCGGATTCTTGGACGTCACATATCTTCGAAACATTTTTGTTATTATTTCGAAAATAAGCAGGTTTCCTCATGGTAAAGTAAAGTAAAGTAAAGTTAAGTACCAGCCTATACATGTCCCACTGCTGGGCAAAGGCCTCCGCTATACAGAGGGTATGAGGGCATAGTCCACAACGCGGCCCTACTGCGGATTGGCGGACTTCACATATCTTCGAAAAATATTTTTTTTTTGTTATTATTTCGAAAATATGCAGGTTTCCTCACGATGTTTTCCTTCACCGCGGAGCACGTGATAAGTCAGCACTTAAAGTTAAAAACTTCATTGGTGCCGGCACCGGGGATCGAACTCAGGTTGCTCGAGTATATTGAATTACAGGCGAGCGCCCGGACACTGAGCTATCACGGCTACTATTTGCTTGTTATTAGGCATGTTCTTTCGATAAATTACTTTCACTGTTAATATTAACAAAACGGGGACTTGTTTGCTTGACGCGATTCGAGGCGTTTGGTCGCGTTTGAATTTTGAGGCTCTACTGACCTTGCACCGAAGGCGGTCGCGACGGCTGTGGCCTTGGGGACGTCCTGCTCAGAGCTGTCCTCTGGGTCCTCGGGCTGGTCGAGGCCGTTGCCCTCTTGGTTGATGTCGAGGCCGCTCTGGATCGCGTCTTGCCCCTGGACGATCGCCTGCGCGTCGAGCTGGTCGGCCTGGCCTTGGTAGCGGTTCAAGTCCTGGGGATAGATCTGACCCTGGCCTTGGGGCTGCGCGTAAAACTGGCTGGCTGGGATTTGCGGTTGGTACTGTGGCTGGTAGACCTCTTGCGGCTGGTAGTATTGGGGCTGCTGGTAGACGTACTGCGGTTGTTGCTCGTCATTCTCGGTGTCTTCCGTTTGCGGGCTCGCTTGGGCGTTTTGGGCGTGGGCCTGGCTAGGCTGTGGCTGATATATTACCGGCTGGGCTTGGAATTGGGGGTACGGCTGCGGCTGCGCGATCGGCTGGTATTGGCTCACGGCTGGCTGGTATTGGGGTGGCACTATCTGCTCCACTTGGCCTTGCACGGTTGGCTGGTACTGGCTGACGGGTGGCTGGTATTGGGTTGGCGCTATCTGTTCTACTTGGCCTTGCACGGCTGGCTGGTACTGGCTTACGGCTGGCTGGTACTGGCTTACGGCTGGTTGGTACTGGCTTACGGCTGGCTGGTACTGGCTCACAGCTGGCTGATATTGGTCGGGGGCTATCTGTTCCACTTGGCCTTGCACGGCTGGCTGATACTGGTTCACGGCTGGTTGGTACTGGCCCACAGCTGGTTGATATTGTGGCAAAGGCCCCTGGAGGACTTGACCTTGCACGGTGGGCTGGTACTGGTTGAAAGCTGGCTGATATTGCGGCTGCGGTGCTTGGTTCAGCTGGGGCTGATACTGATTGACGACCGGCTGATACTGGGGTAAGGGCTCTTGGCTGGGGGTTGATACGATTATTGGACTTGCTGGTTGCTCCTGACCTTGGGGGACAAGTGCTGGATTCTGAATGAAAGCTTGCTGAACTGGGATAAGGGGCTGTTGCTGGCGTGCCAATTGATTTTGTGCTAAGACTGAAGGCAGTGCAGCGAAATGCGCCGGACCATCATATCCAGACTCTACCTGCTTTTCGGGTGCTTGCCCTGGCGTCGATTGGTAGAAGACCTGTTCCCTGATCTGTCCGAATTGCTGCAGCGGCACGAATTGGGGCTGCAGTTGAAGCTGCGCCAGCGAGCTCAGGAACAGCTCAGGCGGGTACTCCTGCAGGTTCTGCTTGGACACTTCGACCGAGGTCTTCCCCCTCTGCGGCGCTGAGTCCTCATCGTCCAGTTTCTCCTCCCTTGTGCTTGGTTCCGTAGTCGGCTCGGCCTCCTTCGGTCTCGGTGATGTGGTGGTAACGGCGGTTTGTGGGACGAATTGCTTGGGTGGTTGTGGGTTCGGGAGGCCGCTCGCCGCGTTCGCGCCGACCGGAAACTGTTGCTGTCTCGAAAACTGGCGCGCCTTCTCCTGCTGAAGCTGGAACTGACACAAACCGATAAGGAAGGATAAGGATTAAAAAGAAGTTTGTTTGAAAATATTAGCTATCGTAGTGGAGAATGATTCCACTAGATGGAGTAACGACCCGTCCAAAGGTGCGCTATGCGTTGGATGCAGGTCTGTATTCAGCGGTGGACTCAAACAGGCGATGATGATGATGGAACATAGGGTTAGGCTAACACTTTGTATATGCTTGTTTAATTTTTTTTAAGCCAAACATGGCAATACCACTCTCAATACAGCTCGATTGCGATATAACGTGTGATTTACTTTACCCATTACGTCAAGATAACTGAAGGTGGCGACCTTATTGTCTAAGAGACACGTCCATTACAAGTATGGAATTTAAACACGGGACAAATTAGCCAATTAAGAATTCGGCACCCGTCTTCTTAGTAACTAGAATTTCTTCGCAGGCAAAACCGCGACACTGCGCATTCTCTCACGTAAATTTGAAAGGCTTTTTTAATTACTTACAATCACTTCTATCTGCACGTGCTCTACATAATTAAATATTATATCACATTACTTCTAATAATTTATGTAATTGGTGAGACTCATATTACTTTAAGTAATTTTAGAACTTTAATTTCACCCTGGTTTCCTTCTATCCACATCCCCTTCAAAATATTGTGTTCGCGCTAGAAATAGTGGTTGAACTATTCACGTTATCCCAAAGTTTAAACGAAGATAGTACATTAAATGATTAGATCTAAATGCCATAGACTATCTATTATTTCTCAAAGGGTTTTTTGTCCGTTTTGTTAAGTTTGTTGCTATAGACGAAAAATAGAGAAATAGAATAAAATTAATGTTTTCACCAAAAAAAAAAACCCTACGTTCAAATACTTCTTACAAAGAATGTATGATAACACAACTATTGATATATTTTTTAGTTATTCGGTAGCCCTACATAAGTTTGGATTTACTTGGTAATTAATCTTTCAGTACCTGGGACTGATGGAAGTTTCGCTCCAGGCCTTTAATGTCGGAGTTGAATTTCGGCCCCACGTACTGCTGGCCATTGACCGGCGAGACCAGGAACACTGGCAACTGCTCCTGAGCGGGCAGGCCTTGGACCGAGACGTCGACGTCGGGGCTCAAGGGCCTGTTGTTTCGAGGGTCGACGGGCGGCAAGTACTCAGGCCTCTGAGGGAGCTGCGAGTTTTTTCGAAAACACATTGTCAGTGGTTCGATTTGTAAATGTAAGCCATTCTCGAATCCATTTATATATCAAAGCATAAAAGATTATTTTAAATATAAACGAGCTTTCGTTTTTGAGTTTACGGGTACGTTTAGAGTGAAACTTCTTTTTAATCTGCCTATATACAACATAATTAATAATATCTGAACCATTTTTAGGTGCCTTTAATAGTATATGGAACAAATTTGAAAAGAAAATATTATATTAAGGCAACAGTCATCGCTGATTCACGAATGGGCAGGTCCGTCCAAGTAAGTAACACGACCTCACAGAAGACCGGCGTGAAGTAGAAGTGTTATACTTCTTCGTTCCGTCTGGTGAGTGAGGTAGCCGGGGCTCATTTTATTAAAATCACGACGGTTATCACTTAACACCAGATGAATCCCCAACTCGTTAGCTACCTTCTCATACAAAAAAAGAGTGATATTTTGCGGTGACCATTCACCATCAGGAGTGCCGCGCCACTTGTTTCCATGTGCTGGAAAGAAGAGTGTGAAGTTCTTACCTCTGTCGGTTCTTTTGTCGGCAGCTCGAACGCTGGACCGCTAGGGCGCCACCCACTGGGCGCGTAGGGAGCTGGTGCCTCAGCGAGAGCACCGCCCCACAGAAGAGATACAACAACCAACAGTTCCTAGGAAAGAAAATTTCACTAAAGTAATATATTAAGATATACGCAGAATCCCTACAAGGGCCCGTGAGACCCCATATATTATTAAGCATTCATGATGTAGGTCTGTAGGACCTTCGTATATGGCCTAGTTCAACTAGCTCTGCCGCTGTCCTTATTAATATAAAATCGTGCCTTCTTAACAGTGCATAAATATGAAATACAAGTTCTTTTGTTAATTACTACTCAGTTTAAGGTATATTATTATAATTGAAAGTCTCTAAATTAAATGAAGCAAAATTACTAGGCGTAATGGTTGACAAGTCGGACTTAAATCTAATGTCACTGGTTCGAAACCAAGCGGCGGACATGTATAGGTTTTCCGTGTTTTGGTTTTCGATACTCGAGGGCTTGTTAATACCAGCACTCGACAAATGATCCCAATGGAGTAGACAAAGAAACTGTCTATGATTTTCCAACCTTACAAAGTCTAGCGACTGGGTGTTTAGTGGCGGAAACTAAATGTGACGAATGGACTTGAACTCGCGACGAGCTAGTCGTCATTCCTGGTCGCTATTATTAATGTGTTCTAACTTTAACCTTCGGCTGAAAACTATGTCCGAATTGGCCATACACGAGAATTGAATACACAAAGATCCCTAAAACTAATTGATACCACCTACTAATCAAATTATGCATTGCTACATTCGGAAGAAACTCAAAATTTGTAAATGGAAGCTCAAGGTCAGATAGATGTCATAACCTAGCCAGAAACCACCGTCAGCAAAGAACGTTTAAAGTTAAACGAAAATTTTGTATTCTATCAGCACATACAGTTGAATTACATATTATTGTCAACCATTTTAATTGCAATTACGAATGTTAAGCTATTGTAGCAAAATCACGGATGACTGGCATACATGTATTTTTTTAAGTGAGGCCATAAACTGAAGAGTTGATTAAGCCTTTAAAACGAAATAAATGTTACGGGAGCTACTTGATTGGTAGATTATAACGATAGGTAGGTAATATGCAACCCAAAATAAGTTTTATAAAAATCTAAACGTAAACCAAAAACACCGTAAAGTTAAAGGTAGTCAACACTTTCTTTTCAACTTAATTCTTTAACAAAAATCTCGGCTTATTAAATAAACCATAACGGGTAGGGCACAGGTTTTAAAAACCACCAGGTATAGATAGAAATGAAAAAAAAACAAATAACACTGTATAAATTTGTGTCCGAATTATAAAATATACGACCGTTTGACTATTTAAAAAAAAAACACTCGAACTCGAAATGATCGCCATATACAAATAAAAATATAAAAACACAATTTCAAATATGGAACGTGTGATCACCTTCATCACTGTAGACTTTCGCTCGGTCCAGAGCTAGGGGCCTGCATTTTATAGACGATATATCTGGCCATTGTAATGCTGGGCGCGCGCTGAGACGACCTTACGGCCCCGCGCGACTAGCCTCCGGCCGCGGCATCGCATGGGCGCGAAATTGACCGCACAATTTCTCATTAACGAACCGGCCACTCTTCTGACACTGATTTCACTGGCGTAGTCAGATTTCAGTGAAATCAAATAGTAAATAAAATTCATTTCATATCTGAGAAATTGTTTATCTTATTTTAAAAGTAAATAAAACTATAAAAAGTATAATTTCAAAAATGGATTTTTTTTTTCTTTCCGTCCGACTACAATAAAGGCTTTTTCAAGGCAAGTCTTAGCATCAACGGCTGCATCCACTTACTATCAGGTGCGATGGCAGACAAGTGCTGGCCAGTTTTGAATTTAAAAAAAAAGTATTTTAATTAAGTATTATTGAATATTTTGAGTAGAGAATAAAGACACGTCCATGCTACTACTACACAGGTTATAAATAATCCTACAATTTTAACCACCTAAAAATTATATAGAACAAACTTTCCGATCTCTTATGAAGATTTCCTACATTGAGCTATCTCATATTTCTACCATAGGAAAGTGACAAGCTCATAATATTTTACACTTCAGTCTTTATAATATCGATTGAACGAAAATAATTCCCTTTGTCCGTCCAAGAAGTGTAACTAGAACCTACACTTAAAAAATCAAAAGCTTTTTACACTGCGTAGGGCGTACAAGATAACATTTTCGAAAAGGCACATACATAAATATGTTTTTTGGATGGAATTAAAAGCAATGATATTACATACAAATATAGATATGACACTAACGCACTGAAATTGAAGCACTCAAATTACACCAATTGGTGTACCGTAGACTTCTATCTCTCTCCGTATCATACGTTCTATATCATCTGCCTCATTCACATACATGTCATATATAGTAAAGCGGATATTTTTTTAAACGCCGCCCAGTTTGACATGCTGCATGCGTCATCTATATCATTAAATATTAAATGTCATTGTCTACAAGCTGTTATAACTTTTTCACAACATGGCGTCTGGTGGTCACCATATTGATTATTGACTACTTTTATGGCTTTTCTTGACAGGCCAGTTTGAGACAATTCGACAACCCTGGTAATAATGCAGGTTATTTTCAAACCATCAATTCCTTTAGACACGCGGAAAACAATTCCAAAGTCAAACTTTAGCCGTTATTAATGAATAAGTTTTAAAACTTGCAAAGGAGCCGACCAGATTAAACAACATCTTTTATTTTTCCTGCCCTTGTCCCACACTGTAGGGTAGCAACATCTTTTTAGTTTTTTAATGTGCAGTACTCTATCACTTACTTTAATAATTAACAAATAGTTAAACTAAGTTTTATTATCTCCCTGGCAGCTTGAAGACATGCACTGTCACACCTTAGTTTTAAAGTGCCTATTCCAGCTTTGTCATAGACAATGAGCCTATATCCATAATTAAAGTTCTAACAATTTTTTTATTTTAATTTTGTACAGATATTTGTGATTAACGTCTTAATTTGTAACAGCCTATAATAATTAAACTGACCATACGTCCCGTTTTGAACGGGACTGTCCCTTGTCTCGGACAGCTGTCCCTTTGTCCCCGAACAATTCTTCGGGACGCAAAATTGTCCCGTTTTCCGAAACCGCGCGAAATTTTAAAACCACGCTCATCAGGCATAATCATTAGCAGCGTGGAACCGCTGTGCTGACGGTTGGTTATTCCCGGTTATTCATCGCATGCACGCGCTCTCTGTTACCTAGTAAAGCGATGAAGAGGAGAGGAAAGGGGGCATTTGTTTCTTTCAATAGGCTAGCCACGCGCATGTATTTCGACTTCTTTATGTTTTTGTGTGATTTTTGTTAGTTTTGTAGATAATTTGAGTTTTGTTGTTTTGAAATTTTCCCAATAGTTATGCCGAAACCCAAGTGTTCATTTAATGTCAACCTACAAACGAAATACCCATTTATTAAGCAAATTAACTCCATCGGATGTCAGATGCGTCTTATGTAAAATCGTCACCTTCTTTATTAAAAGAAATTGATTCCTCTGAGAAATATAGATATAATTAAAAACACCAATGTTGCTTTAATAAAAATATTGAACTGATTTTTTTCTTAATATCTATTATTTTTTAATCTTTTTCGGAATAAAGAAAATTAAAAAGTTATGTTTATTTTCATTGTAAACCAATGTCCCATTTTGAGTTAAAAAAATGTGGTCAGTTTAATAATAATCCATATAATTCATATATTTTTTGTTTTATCATAATTCTAATTTTCTACAGACATTACCGATTTAACTCGTACTTTCTAACGTTGATGATTTTATACCTTTTAGTAATGAAGTCAGTAGAATCAGTTGCGACGTTTGGCTACGAGGGAACATAGGAACGGACATACATACAAACAACCCGAAGGGGGTTGTGTGACTGTGTTAGGTTCGCCGCAGCCGCATAATACGCCGACTTCAAAGCTGAAAGGGTGTTTTTGAAAAACCGATATAAACCAGTTCAAAAGGTCTCTTTACAGCCCGGAATAAATTCCTGATGAAATTGGGATAAAGAACAAAACAGTGAATTATAGTGGTTCGAACGAGAGTTTTAAAAAAACATACTAACTCAAAAACATCACTGGATATATAAAAAAAGAAAAAGATACAATTTCCAAAATGGAACGTGTAATTACCTTCATCGCCGTATACTTTTACTTGGTCCAGACCTGGGGGTCTGATGTTTAGAAACGCTGTTCCTGCCCATTGTAATGACATTCCAGGTTCTGTTCAGGGTAAATGCCTTCGTCCTTTTTTTGTTGATATTCGTGAAATCACTAGATACTTAAATAACGTCCTTATTCGGTTATAACATTAAGAACATATTATGACATCTATTTAAGGGGTCGACCATTTGTGTGACCAACAGCTAGTTTTTTCGGATCTGGGTGTTTGTCCATGTGATATTTATGCATGTAAAACGACCTTACAACACGGGATTTTTCGGGATTTCATAGAGATCGTGTGTAACTTACGCGTGTTGTGCCCAGGTGGGATGGTTGCAGGATAAAGAAGTAAGTGGCAATAATTACGATAGGAATTGCGTTTGTAAGGAAACATGTCAAATTTGTCATGATTATTTGAATATTTCGTATTTTATAGCAAAAGAGATGTCATGTTCATTCTGTTTTACAAAATTTGAAACTGTAGAATGTTGTTCGTTACCTATGCACCAAGGCTGGGGGGTCTTTAAATAGAGAACAACGTTTTAATTTTAACTATTTGATGACAATTAAGGAAACTCGATCAAAGCACAGCCCTTTGAAACGTTTTAAAATGAAGAAATCCTCGTAAAGTGCACAAGTCGCAACCATAAGGCACGCAGTATACTATAAGGAAATAAAAAAAGTTGCACCACCCCGCCAGTGTCGTGGCTTATGTAATGGTTTCAAACGAATTAGACTGTACACCAGGGGACGCCGCGTGCCAATCATACTGATGGCCCTCAAAGCGCCATCGGAATGCCAAAATGACCCTAAAGTTGCCATATAACCGAACCTTTACCGCTCGACAAAGTAACCTTTGCTGTTGTCTTTGTGAAATACGACCGTTTTCCCACGGCCTAAGGTTTAAAATTCAAAAGCTCGTTGATACAACAACGACGGGATTAGGTCAACTTATTCCCGGTCTTTTTGCAATAACTGGAAATAGCATTGGGAATACGCCAATCAATAGTGCGCAATATAATTGCTGCAACAAGTATGTATGTTTGTTCTAAAACGTGTAATTGATATTTTTAAATTACTTATCTCTAGATAACCTTAGTAAACCTTTGACTTCGGAATAAAAGGTATATTTAGACCACACGACTAAAGTAAAATTTCTTTACCTCCATATATATGTAATCTGTATCTCTATCTGTATGAATTTACCATTTTATTCGCTTTCAACGTAGAATATTTAATATATTGAACATAATATTAATTTGTTAATTTTTTCAAGAACAAAATGAAATTTCGAAATAATCAAGAAATCATCGTTGGCACAACATCACACTTTTTGTAACGCCGATCACACTTTTCGTAACGCTCTCGACACGCCTTCGCCAGCTTACTCCCCAAGACATTTAGATATCATTCCAAATATTTTGTGTCATATTACACGAGAATGTCGTTCAATCAAACAAGATAAATATGAAAAAATTGCTTATTTAAAGTTTACGACCGCTTTAAAGTTTATCGGGATAACAATAGTAGGGTAGGTCTCGCGAAATCCATTATGAATGCATTGAATATTTTAAAAACAACCAGTATGAAATTAAAAAAAACCGCTCAAGTGGAGTCGAACTCGTACCTTGCAAATTGAAATTTTTAGCCAAGTCTAAGGTCTATAATCCCTATTAGGTGTATTTCAACCCAGATCCTGAGGCAACACGATAATAAGATATGGGCAAATTTAACTTTTCGTGAAAACTTGTACATACCGAAATTGACGTTACTTTTCAACTTTCTATTTTTTGGAATTAATCCTTTATTTGTAATACCTTCAAATTCATCAATTACTTACTAAAAATATTTGTCGCTGAATAGCAAGTGTTACTTTCAAAAAATAACATTGTCAAAATAGGTTTTTCTCTTTCCCAAAACGCGATACTGGTATGAAATGTTTGTGAATCACACTATTTTTTTCCGTACGCAGACCGAACGCACAACACAACAGCCGAATGATGTCTCTCAAATTTTAAATTAAAGAAACCACCTATTTATTCTCGATCTACTGATTTCAAATATAAATAGATATACTTCAACAAAGTTCTTTTTCATTTGCCTCTTAAAGCCTTTTTCTTTAAATTGATCTTAAACGCAAAATTAAAAGTGAACTTATGGCTAAGGCTTATTATACCATTGCGGAATATCTTGACGACGCCAATGTGTGGGTTGACTGTTG